AAAAAAATTGAAACAAAAAGGCAAAAAATGCCTAAAACGACGTCTTTTTGTTTTTTTAATATTATATTCGGCGCCAAAAATAAAAACGTCATGATTTAAATTTTTTTTATTTTATTTTAATTTTAAATGTGGTTATAATTTAAATGATGCGACGAAAATAAAAAATGTCGCAAATTAAATTTTTATTTGTTTTTAATATTTCAGACAAACTTATAAAAACCGTCGCGAATTAATATTTTTATTTTATTTTTACTTTAATAACTAAAATTAACATTCTACGTCACAAAATATTTTCCCTAAAAATATTTTCACAGAACAACATTATTTTTTTCCTTTTTTCCACATTATGCCATGTTTATGTATATCAAATACAAAAAGTATAGAAAATCACCAAAACCTATCCCTCCCACAATTCTTCCTCCCACAACCTGTCTAATACCTCTGCCAAATTTTCACTTAGGATTAGGTCAATCTGCAAAACAAAAAAGTGAAAAAAAGAAGAAAATAAAAAATTCAAGGAAAACCCTCTATTTTCTCTGTCGACAACTACCAAAATGACACTCAAGACAAAACAGTTTTCCAAATCCACAGAGTAATAGTTAAGGAACAAGAAATTAGACACCCAAAACCACTAATCCCAATAACTTAACCAAGTCATTGCAAATATTTAATAAGTTTAAATTAACATAAAATGTGAGACACACAAGAATCATACAGAGGTTGCACTTTTATGTGGAGATGCAAAAACTCACCTAGTAATTTTTCAATGGGATCTTTACCTCAGCAATGGGAGGGTAGGAAACGATTTGGTTCAAGAGTGTAGGCAAGCAACACTCCAGCTCGCAGGGGAGGGGAACAAAGAGAATAGCGAGGATGAGAGAGAGAAAGAGAGACAGTACTGTGTGTGTCGACTGAAATAAGTAAAGAGGCAAAAAAAGTATGGGCAATGAATCTAAATTTATGTAGGTAGTTTTTTTTTTAATGTCCAAAACGACGTCATTTTGAATTTTTTAAAAATTATATTCTGCGACGAACATAATGTCATAATTTAATATTTTTATTTTATTTTACCTTTAAANGATGGGCAATGAATCTAAATTTATGTAGGTAGTTTTTTTTTTTAATGTCCAAAACGACGTCATTTTGAATTTTTTAAAAATTATATTCTGCGACGAACATAATGTCATAATTTAATATTTTTATTTTATTTTACCTTTAAATGCGGTCGTAATTTATATTCTGTCATGAAAATAAAAACGTCGCAATTTAATATTTTAATTTATTTTTTAATTATTTTTTTTTGCGACAAATTGTTTTTTACCAAAATAAAAATTTTCATTTCCCGCCATTGCTCGTGCAAAAAAAGAGACAAAGAATGACAATTTTGCGACGAAAAAAACATCGTGCATTAAATATTTTGACTTTATTTTAATTTTAATTTTAGATTATTTATTTTTGTGATGAAGAAAAACTATCTGTGAAAAACAAAATTTTGTTATAAAACATTATCAATTTTCGCCATTTCTCGCGCAAAAAAAATTATTCGGGAATCACCTTTTTGCAACATTTTTTAAAAATGTCGCAAAAAAAATTTACAACAAAACTATTTGCGACACAATTATTAAATCGCCTCGAACAGTACAATTTTTGTAACGAAACAAAAACGTTGCAATTAATATTCTAATTCTAATTTAAAATTACAAAGTAAATTCTAATTTGCGATGCATATATAAACATCATGAAATAATAATTTTATTTGATACAAAAATAAAATTTATATTCTGCGACTAATTTTTAAAAACGTCGCTAAAAATAAATATTCCCGACAAAATAATAAAAAACATTGCAAATTAATATTTATATTCTGTGACGATAATATTAAATGTTGCAAATTAAATATTTTGACTTGGTTTTTATTTTTATTTTATTTTTTTTTGCGACGAATTAAAACTATCCGCAACAAAAACATTTTGTTGCAAAAAATATCAACTCCCTCCATTTTTCTCGCGCCAAGAAAAAAATTTGATTTGAATTACCTTTTATTTGCAACAAAAATATTAAATCATCACGGAAAGTTCATTTTTTGTGACGAAAAAAAAAAGTCGCAATTAATATTCTATTTCTAATTTAAAATTACAAATTAAATACTAATTCGCGACGAATATTAAAACGTCGCTAAATAATAATTTTATTTAATATAAAATAAAATTTATATTCTGTGACGAATTTTTAAAAACGTCGCGAAAAAATACCTATTCCCGACAAAATAATGAAAAACGTCGCTAATTAATATTAATTAAAATATATATTCTGCGACGATAGTATTAAACGTCGCGAATTAATTATTTTGATTTTATATTATTTTTATTTTGCAACGAATTGAAACTATCCACGACAAAAATAAAAAAATTATCGCAAAAAATATCAACTCCCGCCCTTTTCTCGAGCCAAAAAATTTTGGTTGGAATCTCCTTTTCGCCACAGTTTTTATAAAACGTCGCAAAAAAATTGCCAAAAATACTATTTGTGACAAAAATATTAAATCATCGCAAAAGTTCAGTTTTTGCGACGAAAAAAAAATGCGTCGCAATTAATATTATAATTCTAATTTGCNGGTTTTTATAAAACGTCGCAAAAAATTGCCAAAAACACTATTTGTGACAAAAATATTAAATCATCGCAAAAGTTCAGTTTTTGCGACGAAAAAAAAAAGCGTCGCAATTAATATTATAATTCTAATTTGCGACGAATATTAAAACGTTGCGAAATAATAAATTTATTTAATAAAAAATAAAATTTATATTCTGCGACGAATTTTTAAAAACGTCGCGAAAAAATAAATATTCTTGACAAAATAATAAAAACTGTCGCTAATTAATATTAATTAAAATTTATATTCTGCGACGATAATATTAAACGTCGTGAATTAAATATTTTGAGTTTATTTTTATTTTAAATTTTTATTATTTTTTTGTGTCGAAGTAAAACTATACGCGACAAACAAATTTTGTTGCAAAAAATATCAACTCCAGTCATTTTCCTTGCGCCAAAAAAATTTGGTGGAAAACACATTTTCGCGACGTTTTTTAAAAAATGTCGCAAAAAAATTTGCCAAAATCACTATTTGCAACAAAATTATTAAATTGTCGGGGATAGTATAATTTTTGCGACGTAAAAAAAATGTCGCAAAAAAAATTGTCGCAAAAAAAGATTTTTATTGTAGTGAAAATTACCAAAATTAACCTTAACTGAGAAGCGAAGTCAAATATTTACGTGAGCTCCTCATTTTGAAAGGCAAATCATACTTTTAACATCTTCAACGATGGTCACAATCTCATTTTTGTCTCCTCAATTCCTCGTATTTCATTCTCAAGTGAATTAGTTTCACATTGTTCCAACATCAAATATCCGTCATGTATTGATAGGAATACACAATTGTTTTGTAATTTACACATTTGCAATGTCTATGATTGGGGCAACATGAAACCAGTTATCGTTGCTAAGAGTGCAATAATGAGAAACGTGATATTGAGGTGGCAATTTAAAATCAGTACCTATAGTTTGAGGTCTAGTATGAAAAACATGGTAGTTGAGTGTACAATAAAAGACCATGTGGAATGGGTGGAAGATCATGAAAAATCTTTTATGAGCTATTTTCTAGCTGTGGTGTTTTATGCTTGTATTAGGGGTAACCTCATGTCTAAAGCCATGGTGCAAGTGATAGATTTAGGGGGAGAGGAATTCAATGCGAATGATTTTGAGAGGAATGTTGGTAGCTGTTGAATAAGTCTATTCGAGACTATTAAATGAGTTTGTTGACACATATCCTATATTATATTATAAATGTGGCATAACACAACTAGTGGCTAAGGGTAGGAAGTTTCGATACAAAATTAATATGACATTGGTGGTAAGGGTTGGCCATTACGTAACACAATCCTAAAATGATACACACAAAGTAAGTGTGTTTTTATTTTTATTTCCGTAATCTGGTATTATTAAATCCTTATAGAAGTAGAAGCTTTTTACTAAGTTTTACCAACACCGAGTGGATTTTTAGGTGGAGAAGCGGCCTGGTTTAGCGAGACGGTAAACCTATTCTTGGGTTTCTTGGTTAATGTCAGTTCACCTAACAGAATTAATTAAATAGGTTTGTGTGAGTTTCTTGTGTATGTCTAGGGGTGGCAATTTCTGATACGATATGACAATACAATTCTAAATTGACACGAACTTAGTGGGTTAATGTTGACCATTTCTTGACACGAACCCGTAAATAACATAATCCATTAACACGAATAATAAATGGATCAAGTTAGTGTCAAACACAAAGAACACGAAATTGATACGATTAACACGTTTAAATAGTATTATAAGAATAAAATGTTAATTTTTATTATTATATTTATTAAGTTAATTTTTAGTTTATAAAAAATATGAGTATATGTTCGATTAAGTGACAATTAAAACTTATACTTAAATCTAAGTTTAAATTTTTTTATTCACGGTTTATATTGGTCAACACAAACACGACACATAAATAAATAAGTCGACTCTCCTCGACACAATTAACTAAATGGGTTGGATTAGGATTGATTAATGTTTGACACAAACTCGAAATAACACAACACGACTGCCACCTCTATGTATGTCTATTCTCTAAATTCGAGATAAAATACTCATTTTGTCCAAAATCGCAACAGTATGTGTGTGTGTGCGCGCGCTAAAGCTTGCGTGTTTTTTGGGGTTCAAACATCTAAGTCCATCGTTGTGTCTATTTACTGTATTCCCAAAAGAAGAAGAAGAAAAAAAACTTATGAGTTTCACCTTGTTTTTTTAGCTAACCTTATAGCGACAAAAACCTTATTTTATCCTAGATTATTTGTAAACGTTTTTATAGATTTATATCCCATTTTTGTTTGTGGATCAGAGATATAATATCTTTTGACTAATCCTTGGTAATCTGTTTTCAATAGCATTTACTAATTTCGAAGGGAAAACAAATGAGTCCCCAGTTGTCTATTGACATCAACAATGAGCTTGCCTCTTTGTCACCTACACCATTTGAGCCTTACATCTTCAGAGTGGATGGCCTACTACACAGGGAAAATGAGCTAGCCTGTGAACCAGAAATACTTGCAATCGGTCCTTATCATCACGGTAAAGCTAACTTGGAAATGATGGAAAAACATAAACTAAGATACCTACAAATGTATCTTGCGCGAACAAATGAGTCAAGTGTGGATACATTTGTCAATGCCATGCAAGATTTGGAAGAAAAGACACGGAAATGTTATGCAGAGTCCATTGGAATTGAGAAGGATGCGTTTGTGCGAATGATGCTACTTGATGAATGTTTTATCATTGAGTTTTTTTACAAGTTAGCATATGAAGAGGTTATAGACGACCCTATTTTCAAATCACAAAGGTTCATGAATTCAATTTTTCAAGACTTATTGTTATTTGAAAATCAACTCCCATTTTTTGTTCTCGAACGCTTACTTGGAAGTGATTTATTAGATATCAATGATCTCATTTCTCAGATACCCTTCCTCTTCTCCCATCTTTTTTCCCAAAGTTCAACGTATTCAGACGCATCCGATGTTCCAAGGGAGACTGTCAAACATCTACTAGGCCTTGTACATGATATTTGGTGTTCCTCATTTAAAACGACCGTCTCTTCCCGTCGGGCCGCTGAAGAGCAAAAAGAACATGGGAATACATAAAATGCAGCACACAGCTTCGAGAGGCTGGGGTTAAATTCAAAAAGGCCATAGAAACTTCCTCGTTGCTGGATATAGAGTTCGAAAATGGAATCATGAAAATTCCACCTTTGAGTATTGATGATAGCACTGAGGTCATCTTTAGAAATTTAGTTGCAAATGAGCAATATAATGACCTAAATGAACCGGCTTATGTGACCGATTACAGGAAGTTTTTAGATTGCCTCATCAACTCCCCAAAGGATGTCGAAATACTACGTCACTGTGGAATCATTGACAATTGGCTAGGTGATGATGAAGCCGTTTCGAGCCTGTTGAACAGATTGAGCAATAAAGTCATCCTAGATTCTACATCATTCTGTTACTCTGAAATTTTCAACAAAATTAACGACCATTGCAAACACCGTCGATACAAATGGATGACCAAGTTAAGGCATAATTATTTCAACAACCCGTGGTCTATCATTTCACTTTTTGGTGCTACTTTGTTGCTTGTGCTGATTATCATATAGACTATATGCTCTGTCTCACAAGTCTGATTTCAAGTCAAGTTTGATTTACTTGTTTCCTTAAAGCAAAAATGTTTTATGTTTCAAATAAATTGTCCTGATTATGTAGTTAACCAATTGTTTCAAAAACGTACTGTAAGAATTTCTCAATGTGAAAACATTATAAGCCACTAGTTGTAGCAAATTAAGTTCCAGTTTGATCCCTATGGAGCTATAAACATTTTGGAGGTCACTTAAAATGGTTAGCAACACAGCTTCTAATATAATCAAAGAGGTGTTCCTATTTTGGGGTGGCTCATCGTGTATGGATCGATCCTATGGGTCCCCTATTGGGTGACTATTATGTATTGGGGTGACTATTTGTAAAAAGTTCAAATGAATCGCACTGAACATTAGACAATTGGAACTCAATTTGTTTGCTCGAGAATAGTATTAAACTCGATTTGGCTCAGGTAATCTGATAAACAAACTTTGTTTATGCTTTTGTCAAAGGGTATAAAAATAAATAGTCTACATTTCAACAAATATGCATGCCTATCATTCCTTTTATTTTTTTGCCCAATTTAGAGAGGATAAATTTGAACAAGGTGAAAAGAAGATTAATTCGTCTACTTTTCATTTCTTCCTAAACTCCACTTATACATCTATTAATTACTAAAAGCAGACCCTTCAATTACTATGTTATTTTGTGTGTATTTTGTNGTCTACTTTTCATTTCTTCCTAAACTCCACGTATACACCTATTAATTACTAAAAGCAGACCCTTCAATTACTATGTTATTTTGTGTGTATTTTGTTAAAATTTTAGCTATTGTTTTCTCCTATTATTATTATTATAAGTAGGATTTTGTCTCAACTAATTAAAGATTGTCCCATAATACAAATGCAAATATAATCACACTTCTTAATCATATATGCTGCTTCTATTCTCTATATATTTTCTCCTCACCTCAATTTCATATTTGAAATTAAGCGAAATTTATTAGAGAAGATTAATAAATTTTATTTTAAATTAATAAGTAAACAAACACATTACTTGACACATTGTTGAATGTCATACGGACAACCAAAACAAAAGGGAATATAGTGTTATTATCCTATATAAGCGGATCTCGTATTTATTTAACAAACTTCAAGAGAGGTACATGTAATTTACCATTTTTTTTGTCTCCATCTTACTTTACTTTACTGTCTCAGCTATCATGTTTTTTAATTGTACCCTCAACTATGTTTACTAATATCACACTGGCTAATGATTGACATCTGTTATCAATTGTCAAAAAGTTGCTCACTTTGGCTCTTACACAACGTGTGTTCTTTACTTTTCTGTCTCCTGCCTCTTTCTTTATTTTTTTCTCTGATCACTTAATTTTAAATTATAGAATTATAAATAAATAAATAATTTTTTATTTAATAAATATTGTATGACTAATATTAAATTTTTTATATTATAGAGTATTTTTTAGCACAAAATTGTTGTTAGTGTTCAAATATTACAAGAAGAATAGAGGAAACCAAAAGTGATGCATTTTTTGATCGTGGTAAAAATAAGACGCTTAAATGATCACATAAACCTTCAAAACAGTTGACGCTCTCACGCTCTGCGTGTTGATTCGCGCATTGAGACTGAATTCTCTATGAATTTGCGCTCTCATTTCACAAAATTGGAATTCGGATTATTATTAACTTATATTCTTACTCATTCTTATTTAATTTTTTATTTGAAAAGTATTAACTCATACATAAAGATACATATCAAACTAGAATGATATTTGCAACCTATAATTACCTTTTTCAGGACCATATAATCAATATATATATATAAATTAAATTGTTTGTCATATAGTTGTGCATAAAATTTGTAGTACTTGATAAATTTTGGACACGTATCCACACTGTGGAAGGACAAGTTGTTGGAATTATCAACGTACATCTCGACAAGGTCCAACAGGACTAGTATAGACAGCAGTGTCACCACAACATTCTAGCGTCGCGGTAGGCATAAGCACCGTGACAGATGCGATTTAATAGATGCTATTTTTCAAGGACTGCAAATGTTCACCTTTGTTCCCACAAAACTTCTCACAAACTAATTCGAACATGAAGTCTCATGCTTTAATAAGTTTTCACACTGTTGTTACCCAATAAAGCATTTAAACAAAAATATCAATTGCTAAAAATAAAATCACAGCCCCATTAGTTAATTTTTATCTATTTTCTCTTTGCATACATTTTTTGAGCTCTTTGAAGTCTCTTAGCAAGGCTTTGTCTAATATTACATGTGGAACAACTGATCAAAGTTTTATAGATTTGCAATGAACATAAAAGAATGACATAGGTAAACAAAACTCAATAAGGATACTAAATCCTTTTCCAAATGCATTCAATTGATTCAGTGAATCTATCTCATTTTTCTTTCTCAAGTTTTGACATCAACTCATCAATCTTAAACTTCAACTTAGACGCTACACAGTTAGCAACCAAAAACCAATGGTCAGAAACTTTTATAGATGATGAATATAATTTAGAAAAGAGTCGAAGTTCTTGAGGAAATACTAACCAATTTGAAGCTAAAAAGTGAAGAGGTGCAAATCTAANGATATAGATGATGAATATAATTTAGAAAAGAGTCGAAGTTCTTGAGGAAATACTAACCAATTTGAAGCTAAAAAGTGAAGAGGTGCAAATCTAAAAGCCCCAGTCGAATATTCACCAGCATGAATAAGCATTGCTACTAAACTAACACTTGCAGATCAAATTGATGCCTACAGCTATGTACTTCCTCAAATGATACCAGGGAACAAACTTTGCAAAGGGGAAATATGATCTACTTCATGCTATAAAAACACATGGTCAAATTATATTTAGGCCAACTAAAAAGGGATAGCCATGTAATTTGAGTTTAATTATAGGAAAAATTTCATCCACACCCCCTCTAGTTTGGTCTAAATTCAATAACACCCCCTCCCGATTTTAAAACTTCACTGCATCTTCTTCTGGTTTATATTTTCAAATCAAAGACATCCTTTTAACGGTAATATTTAACTCTGGCAATACAAAAAGTAACGGTTTGACTATAAATTTTCTAAAAATGTCAAAACTACCCTCTTTTATGTAAATATACTAAAATGCCCTCCACGCTTTTCCCACTCTATATACCACACCTTTTGTTGTTTGTGAAGGTCTAAAATGATTTGGAGTTGCTGGAAGACATAAGAAACTGAAGCTAGCCATTATTCTTCAGGTCGTTCTCCACAGTGATTGATTATTACCTAAATTGGTAAATATATATATATATATTTTGCAGATTTAATGTTTTTCATGGAGTTATTGTTTTCATGCAGATATTTTTAATTTTTTTCATGCAAATTTTTTTTTTCATCCAAAACACCCATTAGACATTTAAGTCATTAAGTCCATTTTCTTATAAGTTGTTGGGTAATAGGTACACTTTTCGGTTTTTTATTTTCTTATATTACCTAAGTTCCCTCTATGATTTTTTTTATTTTTATTTTTCATTATAAATTAGAGGATTTTAAATTTATTTTATAGTTGAAAATAATTTTTCTATAATAAAATTACAATTGACAAAATCAATGTCAAAATTCCATTAATTTCTAACTTCTCTACTATCGTTTGTCCTCCACAACGTCACCTGACCACTCTTCATATATCACATTTCATACATAAAATTTAAACATTATTTGATAAAATTTAATATTAATTAAATAAATTTGGTCTTATTATGAGAAATTTAAATATTAATTTGATAAAATTATATTAATTCAGTGTTGATTTGAAAAAATTTAATGTTAATTAAATAAATTTTAATGTTACTGAATGAAATTGAATGGTCATTTGGTGTTAAATTAAATAACTAACATTAACTTGATAAGGATAAATGTTAAATTAATAGAATTTAATATTCTATTTAATATATTAAATTTTAATTTAATAAAATTAAATGTCAATTTGATGTTGATTTGTAGAAATTAAATAATAATTTTGTTNCTTTTCCCACTCTATATACCACACCTTTTATTGTTTGTGAAGGTCTAAAATGATTTAGAGTTGCTGGAAGACATAAGAAACTGAAGCTAGCCATTATTCTTCAGGTCGTTCTCCACAGTGATTGATTATTACCTAAATTGGTAAATATATATATATATATTTTGCAGATTTAATGTTTTTCATGGAGTTATTGTTTTCNCTGTTAACTCTATAATCCGATAAACACTGACAGGGGATGACAGTGAAGTTTTAAAATCGAAAAAGGGTGTTATTGAATTTAGACCTAATTACAAGAGGTGTGGATGAAATTTTCCTTTAATTATATCATATACTTGCTATTTTTAGCCAAATGATAAAAGATCCCAAAACCTTNTTGTTAACTCTATAATCCGATAAACACTGACAGGAGATGACAGTGAAGTTTTAAAATCGAAAAGGGGTGTTATTGAATTTAGACCTAATTACAAGAGGTGTGGATGGAATTTTCCTTTAATTATATCATATACTTGCTATTTTTATCCAAATGATAAAAGATCCCAAAACCTTTGGTTCCCCTTCTCATGTTATCTACCTGACTTCAACTACATAGGTGTCTCGAGACCATTACATACCTCCAATAAACAAGTTATCACCCAATGTTTTGCTCAACTCCATTGTGTTTTGCATGTATCAGAGAATGTAAGAAACGATGGTAATTATTGGCAACTCTACGGTACTACCTTTAGTTTGTATAGTTGATGGGCTTTGTAATCATTTCAAATAACAAATTCCCAACACAAAAGGGACACCCCTTAATCGGTATTCGTGCAAAAAATCTGAACACAAGTGACGTGATTACTCATCCCAAAATATTGATGAACAAGATCTGTAACCCATACAAACATTTACGAGTTTGATAAATTGTTTGCTCTCCAAGGGTACAACAATGAAAAAGATTAAAGATTACTCACTGGGAAAGTAAATCTAGTGTATCTCAGACAGCGCGATGAACA